AGTGTTTATATTTCCTCAGTAATCTAATAAATTGTATATTTTTTAAAACTCTTACCCAAATTGCAAATGGTTTATATGTGTCTTAAACCTCTTTTAGACTGTAGCAGTCATACTTCAACCAGAGAAAAAAAGATCAGTAGGGTAAATATGCTTTTCCACTTTTTATTTTAAAAAATATATACATAGTTATAGCAATATTAAGGTTATTAGCCAACACAATTACGGGAACCGGCTAGGCAAGCGCAGAGTAAGAAGATAAGATAGACAGGGAAAGAGAGAAATTGTAGGTCAAAATGTGATCCAAATGGAGTCCATCTCCACGTTTCAGTGAGGATCTAGTAGCTTTTATGACAAATCCAATCCTAAAATACCTCTCTCCCTATCATTCAAAAATCAAAAAATAAATGCTGGCAATGATGTGGGAAAAAATATAACCAAATACACTGTTGGTGGGAATATAAACTAGTACAATCGTTATAGAAGACATTGTGGAGATTCCTCAGAAATCTAAAAATAGGTCTGTCATATGATCCAGCTATTCCACTTGTGGAAATTTACCCAGAAGAACTGAAATCATCATATGAAAGAGTTACCTGTACTCCCATGTTTATAGCAACTCAACACACAATAGCTAAGATATAGAATCAACCTAGATGTCTATCAACTGGTGACTGGATAAATGATGGAATACTACTCAGCCATAAAAAGAATGAAATATTTTCTTTTGTAACAAAGGGATTGCAACTGGAGACCATTATGCTTAGTGAAATAGGCCAGTCCCAAAAAGACAAATATTGTATGTTTCCCCTGATTTGTGGTAACTAATATACATAGCACAAAATAAAATGTAATGTATATAAGTGAAACTGAAGTTTTGAGATTGAAATTTGATTATTATTTATAGCCCTTGTCTATACTATTGAGGAATAGTGGTTTTTCTACTTACTATTTGTTGAATTTTTGATTCAGTGGAGGGTTAAGCTTGTGATTATAAAGAAAATTGAAAATATGTCATTATAAGAATTAAAAGAAAAATAAGAAAAGGGGAATGTCAGGGAGAAGAAGGGGAGGGTAGGAAGTATCATTATGCTCTTTAAATTGTATATAAGATATACTTGAAATTTGTTGCCTTTTTATAAATCAATTTTTTAAATTAAATTACCAGCAAATTAAAATATAAAAATAAAATAAAATACCTTTCACAAGATTCCTTTCCAGGGAGTTGGTCTACAATTTGATTATGAAGTCATGACTCTCTATTTTGATTATTCAGGAGTGACTTTGGTCACTAGCCCTGTAACTTTCCACTTTTACAGTCAGGTAAGAATTTAATTAAGCTTCACATCTTAGACACTGTAGATTTTTTCACCCCTAAATATTAAGTTTTGATCAATTTTTTGTACTCCAAAAATCTATTTAGTATATTTGACAAATCCTCTATCTGTTTGAATTTATGGAAGATAGGTATGGTAATTATTTTGATATCTTTTTTTTTTTTTTTTGACAGGCAGAGTTAGTGAGAGAGAGAGACAGAGAGAAAGTCTTCCTTTTCTGTTGGTTCAACCCACAAATGGCTGCTACGGCAGGCGCTGTGCTGATCCAAAGCCAGGAGCCAGGTGTTTCTCCTGGTCTCCCATGGGGTGCAGGGCCCAAGCACTTGGGCCATCCTCCACTGCATTCCCGGGCCACAGCAGAGAGCTGGCCTGGAAGAGGGGCAACCGGGACAGAATCCGGCGCCCCGACCGGGACTAGAACCCGGTGTGCCGGTGCCGCAAGGTGGAGTATTAGCCTATTGAGCCGTGGCGCCAGCCTTGATATCTTTTTTGATTATATCATGAGTCATTTCTAGAATGTTCTTGAGTTTTTACTCTTTCTATTCAACATAAATGTCACTGCTTTTCTGCATGTGATTTTTTAAAATGTGTTTCCAGCCTCTGTGATTTTTGCCTTGTTGTATGTTGGATACTTTTGTGTCCCTTTAAATTTTCTGGAATGTAGTTATTTGGAAACAGTCCAATATTTTGGGATCTTACTTTTAAGCGATATTAGGTGGGACCAGATCACCATTTAATTTAGGATTACTTGTCTCCATAACAGAGAGAAAACCTCCAAATACTCTGATGCAGAATGAATTACGAGGTTTTCCATTCTATGTGATGGGAACAGGAAGTATTCTCATATATGTGAACACTAGACACTGATACCTCTAATCCTTCGGTAGTTAGCTCTAAGGCATGTGCTGATTTGTACTCAGCTGAAGAGTCACAAGGATTCTTTCAGATTTCTAAAATTCTATCTCTGTGGAGTTCTTTTCTCTCAGTACTTTGCCACCCTGTTTTTGTCATTTACTGGTACTTTCTTAAGAAGTTAAGCTTAGAATTCCTATATGGCCCAGAATTCCAATCTGGCATATGCACCCACAAGAAATGAAAACACATTTTCAAAGAAATACTTTTGCATGAATAATTATACCAGTATTATTCACAATAACCAAAAATTGCCATCAAATAATGAGAAAATAAAATGTGGTGGTCATGCCATGGAAAATTATTTAACTATACAGAAGAATGAAGTACTCATACATGCTACAACATGAATGAACCTCAAATACAGCATGCTAAATGAAAGAAATAAAATACAACAGATCACATATTAGGACAAACATTTGGTATAGTGGTTATGACCACTAGTCAGTTAGGACTCCTGCATCTCATATTGGAATGCCTGGGTTCTAGTCCTAGCCCCACTCCCAAATCCAGCTTGCTGCTCTTACACACCCTGGAAGTCAGCAGGTGATGATTCAAATAGTTGAATCCTTTCCACCAATAAGGAAGGCCTGGATTGAATTCCTAGCTCCCAACTTTAACCTGTCCCATTGTAGGCATTTGGGGAGAGTGAACCAGTGGGTGGGAATTCTCTCCTTGCCTGGCTTTCTACCTCTTTCCAGTTTCTCTGCCTCTCAAATGAAATAAATGAATAAATATTTTAAAATCACATTGCCTGAAATTTCTAAAGATTATTATTATGCCTGCTTCACTGGCATGCCATATGGTCGCCAGTTTGTGTCCAGGCTGCTTCTCTTCCAATCCAACTCTCTGCTTGTGACCTAGGAAAGCACCAGAAGATGGCCCAAGTATTGGGCCCCTGCACCTTCATTGGAGACCCAGAGGAAGCTCTTGTCTCCTGGCTTTGGATTGGCACAGCTCCAGCCATTGTGGACATTTGGGGATTGAACCAGCAGATGGAAGACCTTTCTCTCTGCTTGTCACTCTCTCTATAACTCTACCTGTCAAATAAATAAATAAAATCTTAAAACAGACACTCCATGTCTGAATAATAATAATTAGGGAAATAATATGAAGATGAGAATAACTTTGATATACATTAACCATTTTCTGTAAGAGCTGATAGATAAGTAGATAGATGGATTAGATAGATAGATAGATAGATTCTGAGGCAGTAGAATTTAGTGGTTGTGTAACAACCTTGAATCAATTACCTGGGTTTGAATATTATTTTTTCCTTTTACCAACCATGTGATCATAGACAAGTTACCCATACCTCTATGATTGTTATTCATCTGTAAGATGGTAATATGGTAATTACCTGGATACAGATGATTAGCCATCTACTGAAATTTATGCTCTCTCTTTAATAGTGTGATGTTATTACTGAGAGATGGCTGCCCAGCCAGCCACTAAGGTTTCCAGCTACCCTTGCATTCAAGTACAACCATGTGACTATATCTCACTAACAGAATAAAAGTTGAAATGAAGTATAACGTTCCAGGTTCACTAATTTAAAGAAATTAGTGTGTTTTATTGATGATATGTTTGCCCTTCCATCAGTCAGCTGTAAGTAATAATAAGACTACAGTTCCCTGAACCATAATGTCAAAGAAATACCTTCATTGGATTAGTATGTGAAAGAGTAGTGCAGAAGAACTTCTGTGTTAAGCAACCAATATTCGGGGGACTGTTTGATATATTGAACATTATCTTAGTACCATAGTATAGGAAAATAAGGATTGAATGAGTTAATACATATACAAATATTTTCCATTGAGTTTGGCATATTGAAAGTGTTTGATAAATGTTAGCTATTCTCTTTTTATTATGGCAATATATATAACATAAAATTTGCCATCTTAAGTGTATAATTCAGTGACATTATAACATTCACAAAGTTATGTAACAACCAACACTTTCTATTTCAAAAACATTCCATCACCTCAAACAGAACCTTTGGATCCATTAAGCAATAACTCCCCATTTTCCCTGAATGTAGCCTTTGGGTAACTTTTAATTTAACGTTGAATTTGCTTCTCTTGGATATTTCATATAAGTGGAATCATACAGTTTTTGTAATTTTGTGCCTTATTTTAGTCATCTTTCTATCTTCATGGTTCATTCATGTTCAGAGCTTCATTTTTCTTTTTGGCAGGATAATATTCCATTTTCTGTGATATCATACTTTGTTTATCCATTGATAGTTGTGGATAGATACTGAGATTGTTTCAACATTCTGACCACTTGAATAATGTTACAGGGAACACTGATATGCAAATGTCTTTTTCAGTCCCTGTGTTCGTAGGACATTTACATAGGAGTAAAATTGCTAGTGCATTTGTTAATCCTATGTTTTACTTTTTGAAAAACTGCCAAACTTCCCATAGAAGAAGTATTATTTTACATTTCCATCAGCAATGTCCATGGGTTCCAATTTTTCTACATTCTTACCAAGAATTGTTTTTGTAATTTGTTTTACCTTTTCCAGTAGATGCGATGTGTTACCTCATTGTAGTTTTGATTTTCATTTCCTCAGTCACCAATGATGTTGAGCACATTTTCATGTTCATATTGGCTATGTTTGTATCTTCCTTGAAAAAAAAGTAAAACTCAAGTTCTTTGCCCATTTTAAAATGGTATATTCATGCCTTTTTCTTGAATTGTGTGTGTTCTTTATTTTTAAAAAAAATATTTTATTTATTCATTTGACAGAGTTACAGACAGTGATTGGGAGAGACAGAAACAAAGGTCTTCCATCTCCTGGTTCACTCCCCAATGGCCGCAACTGCTGGAACTGTGCCGATCTGAAGCCAGAAGCTAGGAGCCTCCTCCAGGTCTCCCATGCAAGTGCAGGGGCTCAAGGACCTGGGCCATCCTCCACTGCCCTCCCAGGCCACAGCAGAGAGCTGGATCAGAAGAGGAGCCACCAGAACTAGAACCGGTGCCCATATGGGATGCCAGCACCAAAGGCAGGTGATTTATCTACTGAGCCACAGCGCCGGCCTCAAACTGTGTGTGTTCTTTTTGTATTCTGGATAATACTCCTTTTATCAGACGTGATTTGCATATATCTCCCATTTATAAGATGTCATTTCAATTTCTTGATAGTACTCTCTGATACTTACTCATTCTTGATTTTGATGAAATAGACTCATCTGTCTTTTTCTTTTCTTGCTCCTGCTTTTGGTATTATATCTGAGAATCCATGGCCAACTTCAATGGCATGAGGGTTTTCCCTTTTTTTCTTATAAGAGGTTCATGGTTTTAACTCATATGCTTAGGTTAATAATCCATTTTGAGTTAATTTCTGTATGGGGTGTGTGCAGAGTTCCAACTTATTTGTATGTGAAAGTCCACTTGTTCTAGCAAAATGTTAACTATTTTTATGTGTCATGGAAGATATCAGAAGACAGAATTTACTGATTATAACTTCTTTTTTTCTTAAGATTTTATTTATTTGAAAGTCAGAGTTACACAGAGAGATAAGGATAAGCAGAAAGAGAGAGATCTTCCATCCACTGCTTCACTCCCTAATTGGCCACAATGGCTGGAGCTGTGCCAATCCGAAGTCAGGAGCTAAGAGCTTCTTCCAGATCTCCCACTCAGGTGCAGGAGCCCAAGGACCTGGGCCATCTTCTACTGATTTCCTAGGCCATAGCAGAGAGCTGGATCTGAAGCAGAGCAGCTGGGACTGAAACCGGCACCCATATGGGATTGTCGGCACTGCAGGCAGCAGCTTTACCTGCTACACCACAGCGCTAGCCCCTGATTATAACTTCTAATGACATGAATTAAAATTCTAATGACATGAATTAAAAATTCTTTCTTATGATTAGGGAAGTTTATTTATTACTACCATGGGAGAAAGAAAATATGAAGAATTAAAGTGAATGTATGGATGAGTGTCACGGTGCAGTGGATTGAACTGCCACTTGGGGTGCTCACATCACATGTTGAATGACAGTTCAAGTCCTGGGTATTCCACTGCCAATCAAGTTCCTTGCTAATGCACTTGGAAAGGCAGCAGATCATGGCCCAAGTACTTGAGTCACTGCCACCCATATGGAGTTCTTGGTTCCTGGCTTTTGCCAGGCATTTGAGGAGTAAACCAATAGATGGAAGGAAGATCTCTCTCTCTCTCTCTCTCTCTCTCTCTCTCTCTCTCTCTCCTGGACCTTCTCCTTCCTCCCTGCATCCCGTCATTCTGTCTTTCAAGTAAGTAAGTAAATAAATAAATAAATACATCTTTAAGGAAGATGAAGAAGAAGGTCCTAGTGGTTAAGATTTTTGGTAAGATATCTATGTCTCACTGGGTTTGATTCCTGGATCTGGCTCTTATGTCACCTTCATTATAATGAAGCAGTGATGGCTCCAGTAGTTGGGTTCTTGCAACACATATGGCAGACCTGGATTTGAGTCTCTGTGCCATGGCATTTGGGGAGTGAACCAGTGAATGGAAGCACTCTCTCTCCCTCTGTGTCCTGTCTCTTTGCCTATTGTATTCTCATTTATTGTATATATTTGTATTACTATATATATATATATATTCATGTCAATGGTTTGTTCCAGAACATCCAGCAACTCCCAAGGTCTCACACATTCACTAGGGCTATGATGTATTATTTTCAATACATTTATATTCTGTATATCCCATATAAGGGAAAAACCTGTGGTGCTAAGAGGCAAACATTTTTTGTGTTCCCAACTTTTCAATTCTCCATCATCACCTTTCATCTTCATCATCTCTTTCTACAATGCTCAGCCAGAATTAATGGTACTTCTACCATGCTAAGCCATAGGAGCACTCAAATTTCCCTTATGGTTTGCTTTTGGCATGATAAAAACATTTTGCCTCTTTAACTGAGATTGGAACTTTTCAAACGAAACTTATTTGACAACCGAGAAAAAAAATAGAAAAATAAGTTTAAACTGTTCACTGTATACTAATAGCTGAAATGTGTCCCTAGAGTAGCTTAGCTTGTGTAAATATGAAACACTGATTTTTTCCCCTTTTCTAACATGCTAAAGTGGCATGCTTACCAAGAGTTGTTAGCTGGAGAAAATTTGGGATATTCCTACATCTAAGGTAAAAGTTTCTCAGTTTTATTTCCAGGCTTATTTCTTGGTCTCTCTTTCTCTGCTTCCTTGCCCCAAGTCCTAAATTGTAAGCTTTTGCTTTATACCAATCCTGTGAGTCACAGAAATGGTACGAAATTCCCCTAAATAATCCAAAAGATTGCATACTTATTAATACAGCTTTCTATCCCACCCCTCACCCAAACAGCTCATGTTTTTATCTCTTACATATTTGGATTGCCCTTTGTTCAAATCAGTTTTACTAACTGGTTATGAAGTTAGTTCTATTTTAGATGAAACTGAATTTCTTTACCTAAATTTTTTTTTCAATATTTTTTCAATTTTTTTTTTTTTTTTTTTACAGGCAGAGTGGACAGCGATAGAGACAGACAGAGAGAAAGTTCTTCCTTTGCCATTGGTTCACCCTCCAATGGCTGCCGCGGCTGGTGCACCACGCTGATCCAAAGGCAGGAGCCAAGTGCTTCTCCTGGTCTCCCATGGGGTGCAGGGCCCAAGGACTTGGGCCATCCTCCACTACACTCCCGGGCCATAGCAGAGAGCTGGCCTGGAAGAGGGGCAACTGGGACAGGATCCGGCGCCCTGACCAGGGTGCCGGCGCTGCTAGGCGGAGAATTAGCCTAGTGAGCCGCTGCGCCGGCCTTTACCTAAATTTTTATATCAGAAGTTTAATGAGCTATTATTTGCTTTTTGTCACCTCAATACATATCTAAGGATAAGGAATATTTCCCCATCAATAGGTAGTCTAATCTTAGTGTTTATGAATCTGAAATGTCTGATTTAGGGGCACACTTAAAGGTTTCAGGATCCCAATATAAAAATTGCTACATACCTGTTGCCAAACCCTTACCCATGAGTTTATGAGGAGAGTGAGGCTCATGCAAATTAGGGTGGAGGATGTTGATGCCTGCAGTTGAAAGCCAAGGAGAATCATAAAGCGTCAGAGTCTATTTGTGTGAAGCTTCCCGATGGGGAATGGCCCAATGATGCTGCCAAAGACCCACCAGGTAACAGTTCAGCTAGAGGGCAGTGCTGTAAGCATTCCTGCTCTGTGAGTAGCATCCCCATGCGGAACTTACTGATGCTTCCGTGGATCAACACCAGACATGGCAGAAGAGTAGTCTCAATATAACATCACAGAACATAAGGAATGAGGGTAAAGGTATTGTCAAGGTAAGATCAATCCATACCTCTACTCTCACCCTCAGTCACTGTGCAGTTACCAACCATATCTCTTCCAGAACCTTGGATAGCTCTTGGCAGGAAAAGATCCCCCTTTCCTTAAATATGACGTATTTGCAACTCTTGAGAGAGGAGATTCAAAATATAATTTGATTTGTTTTAGAACATAAAACGTGCAACTTAGAATGTGGAGCAAATTCACACTGGCTCCATTAGTATCTAGTCCTGGTCTCTCCACCAGCTTTGTGGTTCTGACAGTAAATGCCATTATTCCCTGCTGGGAACTGTCTGAATCCTGTCAGCTCCTCTGACAGCCTGAAGCAGAGTTCTCATCTGTTACAATTTCTAAAACCCTTTTTCCATTGAACTGCCCACTAAATTCTTATTTTTCTGTCAATGAGAAATCTCTGAATTTGAGCTTGATTTGCAAAGGAGAGATGAATGACAGATTCTGAGTTTAATTACTGTCCAGGCTCAGGGCACCAGCATTTTTCACAACCATAATACCCTTTGAAATTCCCTTAAATTCTTGCAAACAGTATCCAGCAAAAATTCCTTCAGTTTAGGTCAGTAACTTGAAAACTGCTCCATGGGGCCGGAGTCATGGCCTAGTTAATCTTTTGCCTGCAGTGCCAGCATCCCAGTTGCTCCTCTTCCGATCCAGCTCTGTGCTGTGGCCTGGGAAAGCAATAGAAGATGGCCCAAGTCCTTGGGCCCCTGAACCCATGTGGGAGACCCAGAAGAAGCTCCTGGCTCCTGACTTTGGATTGGCACAGCTCCGGCCATTGTGGCCATTTGGGGAGTGAACCAACAGAATGAAGACCTCCCTATCAATTTCTGTAACTTTGCCTCTCAAATAAATGATTTCTTTAAAAAAAAAAGAAAAAAAAAAAAAAACTTCTCCACCAATGGTGCTAATAATACCAAAATATTAAATGAACGGATGTCTTCCAAAAATAAAAGTAAAATTATTTAGGTAGACCTTAAAATAAAATTTACTCAGTGATAGCTGTATCTATACTAGTTGTGCGTTTTGTTTTAACTCACTATATCTAGCACATTTTCTCACATGTTCCCTCCATACTTTCTCTTTTTATTATTTAAACTTGAAATGTTAAATGCCACTTCTTAACTTCATGCTATTTGGATTCTTAGCCATCTCATTCACTATCTCTGAGATACTGGGCAAGCACTTCACCTTTCTGGACCATATTTGTTTATGACCTGAAGAGTTTTATTAAAAACTTTATACGAATTTGTATGAATCTGAGTTCCTAAGAGGAAAGCTGGAAAATATTATGAAATATGGATAAGCAGTCAAGGAAATTTCATCTTTAATTCTTTTCTAAGGAGTTGAATAGTCAAGTTAGTTTAAATCTATTACTCTAAAGGAGTAATAGTCACAGGTTTTTTTTTTTTTTTTTTTTTTTTTTTTTTTTTTTAAACTTTTATTTAATGAATATAAATTTCCAAAGTACAGCTTATGGATTACAATGGCTTGCCCCCCATAACGTCCCTCCCACCCGCAACCCTCCCCTTTCCCACTCCCTTTCCCCTTCCATTCACATCAAGATTCATTTTCAATTCTCTTTATATACAGAAGATCAGTTTAGCATACATTAAGTAAAGATTTCAACAGTTTGCTCCCACACAGAAACATAAAGTGAAAAATACTATTTGAGTACTATTTATA